CGGAACCACTCATATCGGTTTCGGTTCCGGAACCGGCGGTTCCAAGGCGGTTCCGGTTCCGTAACCGGGTACCCGGTTCCGCTGCTCACCCCTACCCACCATGTTGTCTTTATGGCGACAAATCATTTACGATGCATTATTTCTATGTAGATACATCATTGCATTGAGAACTTATATAATATTATCATTGGGATATCAAATATAAAATGTTTAATATTAAAACCAAAAGCTCACACCGTTCCAAAAGAAATGCAACATTCAACTTAGCACATAATTCATTAATAATGTTTTGACTATTAACTAGATGTCTAGCATGCCCCTAAATAAGAACAAAACGAAGAAAACTTAAGGACCTCAATGAAAGCTAATAATTTCATGTAACGAACTTACGGTTACTAAAGCGTAAAGCAAGTTTAAAACTTACTAAAAAATGAAATTTTGCATTTCTTAAGACAGCCAAGATGGAAAGTGTGGGATTCTTTTGGACCGGAGGGAGTACCAAATAACAATATAACATTGGAATAGATCAATGCTAAATAATTAAGCCCTCACTCTTTACATAGATACTAATTTATTTAAAATAAATAGTAAATTGTAAAAAAAATAAATGGAAAATTGCCTGTAAAGAAAATAAAAATAGTAACTTGTGTTACTGTAGTCATTTTGTGCCAATGTATAGTAAACTGTAACAAAAAGAAATAGTAATATTAAAAGAAGCACTCATAGAGGTCACAACTCTTACAGCAATGGCTGTAACTTGGAAAATAAATTAAATAGTGAATTGTAATGACTAATATCTCTACAACTCTTACAGCAACAGCTACAACTTGCCTGTAGCCTTGTACTACTCTTACAATAAATGCAAGTAAAAAAGTAGATTAAAAAACTAAACTAAAACTACAAGGTACAACCTGTAAGGAATGCTCTTACAGCACAAACCATTGCCACCAGAAGGACAAGAGAACAATGGAGTAATTATGTACAGCAGCACAGACAATAGTGATGATCTTTTTAGTTTTTCCAAAAGTGAGCTTTTTCCCTATTAATGCTACGAATTTCCAGTTTGGGGCCTAAATTGGCCTAAAGAAACAACTCACACCATGTTTCATTTGTTGGTTACTATACTTCACACCATCAAGGGAGGGAATACCGTGCCATCTAGGTATTGCCGCAATGGTGCAACGCCATGGAAACGCTGTAACAACCACAGTTACCAACTTACCAATGTACTAAACCGAATGACTCATGGCTACCCCTACGTCTTCTAATCTTAGATGAATCCTTTATTCTTGATAGTTTAGACGAACTTAATTTAAAATGTTACTCCAATGCTTCTCTGGAAAATCTAGCATATCATATTAATTCCAAAATTTCCTTCCAAATGCACATCTCCAACCATAAGAATTCCCGGCATGTCTGTGAAGGGTCATGCATACCCATGCAACATATTGATATACATAGATTAAGTCATTAACACACAACAAACCAGTATTAAAGTATGGTGTTATTTACCTTACGGATATCATCAGGAGGTCTTAAAAACACCTTTTTTTGATCAGAAGACGCAATAGATGAATGTAATGGTAAAAGCCATTCAGATGCTTGTCCACGGAATTGGTATGAAGCAGCTAACTTGTCCAGCAATGTGTGAATTTCAGAAACTCCCTGTTGCAAGAACTAATTAATCTTATGCTCTTAAGGAACTGCCATACTTCTATCATAAGAGTGTCTACAGAACGTATCGGTAATCAAAGGACTTACTGGTAGAAAGACCAATATTGCCCCCCCTGGGTAAGTTTCATCAATGTGACAAATCAGGTCCTCAAGAAGATCATAATCAATAACATCTTCATTCAACTTTTTCTGTTCAGAAGGTTACAGGCTTTGTGAAAGCGAACTCCAGAAGTGTATTTAGAATTTTTCCAATCAACTATTGCATTGTAAGAACATTTACCAAATTTTGCTGCGTTTGTTCACTGTATGCTTGATAGTTTTCTGGAACATAATAAGGGTTTGTATAGCCTTTTGATAAAACAGATTCGTCACCCCATGCAGATAAGACAAGATTTTTCTTTCCCCTGTGGTTGTCAACAGCAGCACCCTGAGCGATCAAGTTCAAGATTTCATAACTATGGCTGCAGTGAAATTACTAAGAGCAAGAAGATCAGCACAAAGTTACAGCATCATCCTTATGAAAAGACAATAGATAGCAGGTCTTAACTTCAATAAATAACGATCATTGAAGGAACATTGTGGAACATTCACAAACAACTAATAAGGGAGGAGGAGCCTACAGGTATTTGCAAAAAATAGGTGGTTACTTAGAATGCATGTCCTCCAAGCATGTTATCTTTTCTGATAAATTAATGTGTGTGTTTGTCTAAGAAGCCATAATCATATTTAATGGTAAATAGCGAGACTATCACCAATGCAACATATTCCTTTTATCAGTCAACCCCCTTTAATGGGTACACAATTTGCTCACCTCCTTGTGTGTGCAGTGGCGGACCCAGGAATTTTTCTGAGCAGGTGCACCTTTAAGGTCAATGAAAGGCCAACAGAGTCACGGTTTAACCCAGGGAAAAGTCAACAAGTTTGCCCCAAGGAAAATTCAATTGTGTTGATTTGATGCAATACATTTTTACAAAATGAAACCGACCTTGACTTTTTGTGCAAGATGGAACACTACATCTTATACTCGGCAAGTTCTCGGCCGAATTCCACCTTTACGGGGGATTTTTTTTGGTTGATTTCGTAATAGTCGACAAATGCAACAACAAAATATAATTTTATAAATTGCTTACATAAATATGTTTGATGACATCATGGACAGAGGAATAATAACCGATTTTTAAGTATTATCAAAAGAATTAAAAATAAAAACTCATACAAAGTATGAATTGTTAAATGGAATTAATTTTATTTTATAAGCATGTATTGTCATTAGAACGATACAGAAAATAAATTTAAGATTAAATGGGTAAATAGGAAGAAAAATACTTCGAAAAAAAGAAAGAAATAGAAGTAATATTGAGACAATTGTAAATGAAAAATAGTTATAGTTGATTGGTAAGATTTTGCTATCTTATAGTTGAGGTCTTGAGTTCAATTGTTTTGTTGCATATTTGTTTGCCTTTTTTTAAATACTAGAAGAGTACTCGCGCAATGCAGCAAGATACATCGTGTTTTTAATATTTCATTTTATTATTTATCTCAGTCGATGTTATAATATGACTTTATGTGATTTTGAGAAAACGATGATGTTTTTATTTTTGAATAAAATATATGTTTGACGATATCATAAAAATTTGACAAAAATATATCGATATTA